TCGATCCTTCCTACCTGGTTTCCTGAGTAGCTAGGGTGACAGGCACACACTGCTGTACATGGCTTCACTTTATCATAATTAAGAAAGAATTTAACCTAGAAGAACAGGAAGGCTTGGTGGGGGGGTACATCAGTGGGCAAAGCACTCTCTGCAAAGGTGTAAGGATTGGTGTTTGGAATCCCAGCACCCATGTAAAAATAACGGCTCCTTGTAATCTCCAGCACTCAGGAGGTGGAATGGGATCCCAGGGCAGCCAGCTACCTAGTCTAGTGAATTGGCAAGTTCTGGGTCCAGTGAGAGGTCGCCTGAGCAAATAAAGTGGAGAGCCATTGAGGAAGATACCCCATGTCAGCCTGTTGGCCTCCACATACACGTGCTCACAAGTTTACAATGTGTGTATACACCCTAACACATGCTACATACATACATATAATAGAAAATCAGCTGAGAAGTCTGTTGACTTGTACTAGTTCTGATACTGCAATATTTTTAAAAAAGGTATACTTATTTATGTTATTTGTGTACATTTATGTATGAGCGCATGCATGCTTCTCTCTCTCTCTCTCTCTCTCTCTCTGTGTGTGTGTGTGTGTGTGTGTGTGTGTGTGTATGTACACATCAAGACAACTGTGGGAATTGGTTCTTTCAGTTCACATATTCTGGGGATTGAGCTGAGGCTATCAGATTTGGCGGCAAGTGCCTTACCTACAGATCCACCTCCCTGGGTTATGAAGTTTTAGGGATGTAATTTTTCATGTAGGGAATAAAGAGGGAGAAAAGAAAAAAAAAGAGGACATGTTTTTTAGCAGTTAGGATTGGAAGTGACAGAGAGGAGGGTTCCTGGAACATAGGTATGTAGTGAACTTTTATTTTATTTTATTTTTTGGTTTTTCGAGACAGGGTTTCTCTGTATTGTTTTGGAGGCTGTCCTGGAACTTGCTCTGTAGACCAGGCTGGCCTTGAACTCACAGAGATCCACCTGCCTCTGCCTCCCGAGTGCTGGGATAAAAGGCGTGCGCCACCAACGCCCGGCTGTAGTGAAGTTTTAAAAGAAGGTGTTAAAATCCTTGTATTCTCCAACAAGAATTGATTAGTGGGGTTTTGTTTGGACAAGGAGGGAGCAGGTAGTGTGGGAAGTCTTAGAATATGCTTCATCATGTAACAATTCAAGTTACATAGTAGGATTTTTTATTAGAAAAAGTTGCCATTTTTTAAGCTAATGCATCAAAGAACGGAATGTTCTAAGTACTGTACTGTTTTTATCTGCCCATTGTCAGACAGCAGATAACTCTGCTGTGTGAATTATGCCTGTGAGCTACAAAGGGTGAGGTAAAGGAATGAGGAAAAATGAGAAATAAAGAGGGAACCCTAACTGCAGAGCAAACGGAAGGGGGCGGTAGCACCCCAGGAAGCAGCAGCTGCACCCCGGCTCTGGCTCTGGGCGGATGGGGACCTAGTTTTCATCCCGACTCACCCTGTCTTTCGTAGTTTGTCTCTAGTCTGGCAGCTGAGGTGAGAGGCTCGTGCCAAGCCAGTACTGGCTGTCGTGTCTGTCAGTGCTGCCCGCAAGCTGTCCACCTAGGTGTGCAAACAGCCAGATCTGCCGACGGTAGACTTCCAACTCATAGTCTGGCTTCCTCGGTGCCCTTCCTCTTCCTTCTTCTACCGTCACGGATGTCCCAGGTCACAGTTCTTCTTCCTGTCCCTAGAGCAGCTTGTTGGATTGGTAAGTGTCAAGACAGGAGATTTGGAGCCATCTTCTTGACAAACCTCTCCTTGCTTTTCTATATAGCACGTTCTCCACATTTCAGGTATTTTCTGTATGTGCTCATTGTGGGCCTCTCCCCTAGAGGTTAGGAATCCTCCCTGTGTATGGCCCACTGGTAGTACCTAACGCATTGTAGGTGCTCAGTGTGGGAGGAGTAACGGGCAGCTGAAGGGACACACACTCTCTTGTACGGAATGAAGCGCTGCCTAACTTCTGCGATGGAAAATAAAGTCATCGTTTTCTCTTGACAAAGTGCAGTGTTCAGAATTGGCAAATCTATGTTACAAGAAGTGGCTTAGTTGTGGCTGAGTGCTGCATGCTGAGGAGTAAGAGTTAGGAGTGGGTGTTGTCACTGCTAAGGTTTCCGTTTGTGCTGACAAAAATGGCTGATGAGTGATTGTGGTAATGGTTGCACAACTCTGTCAGTATGGTAAACACACACACACACACACACACTCAGATTTATTTATCTCATTTTATGTGGATGAGTGTTTTGCCTGCATGTATGTTCACATATGTGCATGCCTGCAGAGGTCAGAAGAGGGTTTTGGATTTCTTGGCTTACCGAAGGTTGTGAGCCACTGTTAGGTACTGGGCATGGAACCTGGATCCTTTGCAAGAGCAATAAGTGCTCTTAACTAGTGAACCATCATCTCTGCAGTCTCTGCAGTCTGGCAAATACTCTTGAGCTGTACATTGTAATTGAGTTACATGATACACGAGTAGCTTAGTAAAGCTGTTAAATTACAACAACATAAACTCAGACAAAACCAAACACCAGCATTATACCGTTAAATAATAACAGAAGCTGGGTTTGTAGAACATGGCCACTGGGTCTTGTTAGCTGAAGATACCAGTGCCTCCCTCAAAGCAGAGCAGCAGAGTAAGTGTATGAAGGCAGCACAGTCCCTGGAAGAAGCTTCCAATGTGATCATTACAGTGATGCTGATGAATCTGAAGAGAAGGGAAAACCAAACCGAGGGGAATGGCATAGAAGTCTAATCCTTCCATACGCCTCTCAGCAAAACACTGTATTTTACTGCAGTGTTTTGTGTGTGTGTGTGTGTTTTGTCAGTGTCTCAGAGAAGTTCCTGTGGCCAAGCCAAATTCATAAACTTACATATAAAAGCCTGAAGAAGAGAAACGTGGAGCTTAAGATGCCATACAGGCCTAGAGGAGCGGATAGTAGCCAGTAAACATTGATGGGGGTCAGGTGTGCATGTCTAAGAGACTGTTAGTAACTCTTCAGACCCCAGAGTCACATTCAGATGGGACAGCAGATCAGGGCCCAGGCAATAGGGCCAGTTGCATTTACTGTATTATGTGTATCAAGGGGAAGGTCACATTGAATATCTGTGAGAGAGATGCTCAGTGTTCAACTTTAGAGCAGCGGTCTCAACGTGTGTGTTGCAACTCCTTTGGGGCTTGAACAGCCCATTAATGGGGGTAGCCTGAGACTGTCTTCAGAAAACACAGATATTTACATTGTGATTACCAACACTAGCAAAATTACAGTTTCGAAGTAGCTACGAGAATAATTTTATAGTTGTCGAGGTCACTACAACATGAGGGACTGCATTAAAGGATCACAACATTCGGAAGGTTGAGAACCACCTCTCTGAAGGAACTGACTTCATAGGTTGCCCTTCAGTAACCTTGACACTCTATCAAATACACTAAGAGTTTATTTTGGCTTGGCCAGAAGTCACTGACCTGTGTATAAGATGGAGTGCTGCGGAGTACGTTTCTTGGGCACAATACACATAAAAATTAATTTGGATGAGCAGGGCCAGATTTGAATATAATACCTTGTTGTTAAAGGTCATCAGGTGAGTATGGTCCAGCAAGTTAGGAAAGAACAGAAAGTCACCTGACCGTAGAGGACCAGCTAAGAATGTAAGAGTGTAGCCATCAAAGCACTGTTGCTTGCAATGGGGCAGGCATTTATTCTTCCAGTTTGCGTTGTCCATTACATTACATGCCCCTTGTATTATTGACAGTCAGGTCTGACAGTTACCATATAGGTGGTGTCTTGTGGGTCAAGGAAGTGCATGAAAAAATAAGAGAGTTATACTTCATGGTATGTGTGCTTACTGAAAGATATGTGGTATACATTGTATCTTTATATCTACATATTTTTAATCATTAACAATTATTATTATTATTATTTTGGTGTGGGATAGTATCTAATGTGTAGCTCAGGGTAACCCTGCACTCCTGATTTTCCTGTCTCCACTTTTCAATTGCTGGGATTACAGTCATGAGCCACCATGCTGACATGGGCATACATTATGGAAAGGACCATCTGCATAGACTTTTTAAGGATAGCAGTGTTATGTACCTCAGGCTGACCTTGAACTCTGAATCCTCCTGCCTCCCCACAAGTGCTGGGATTATAGTGTGACACCACTGTAATTATTATTTAGAAATGAATACAGTCACACATCACTTAAGGGTGTGATCTGACAATGTATCATTGGGCAGTTTTATTTTTGATTGTCATAAATGTACTGGTATGACATTGCTGAGACCAGTGCTAACCATGAGGCAACACAACAGTGTCACGGGATTCTCATTGATATGTGATCAGTTGATGACTGCGCTGTTGTTATGAGGTATGTGACCGTATGCCGTATGCGTTTACAAGAAGGGCTTTTGTTGTCATGTCTTTCGCTATGCCGTGACAACAGATCACTTTAGAGAGGCATAATTGTAGTTCTTTCCAGACCCCTTTTAAAAGCTTTGTATGGTATTGCCTGCTTTTTATTCTTCCCTTTGAAGAGAATTTTGCGTGGCCCTTTCTAGTCAGTCCACCTTTCTGTTTCAGGAGCTTGAAAAACACAGTAATGGAGTCTAATTGTATTTGCATGCAGAAAATTCTGAAAGCAAAAGGATGCCTGAGTTGCACACCACCTACTCCTCTAGGCCTTGTGCTTCTGACTGTTAACAAAGCTGATTTATTTCTCCTAGGAGTGATGCAGTTCTTAACCAAAATATGATGTCATTCTCATCGTTCTGCCTCGTAGAGTACAGTGAAGCCCTAGTAAGGTTTAGAAATGTATTTATTATGATAATGAATGTGAGAAGTTAGTTGTCAGTGTGGACTGAGGTTGACTGGCACGGGTTGCTTTGTGAATAGCCCTTGGAGCACACTGTATAGTTCATATGTGGTTTTAAAGCACTGTAAACTTGTAGGCAGGTACATATTACAATTGTCTGTTTTTCTTTTTAGGGCTCATGTAATCAAAGAAGTTTCTTTGTTGTGTGTATCTTTACAGAACACAACAGGAATTGAAAATGCATCAGGTGAGTTTAAAAATAAAAATTTATACAAATTCATGACCTAGATGTTAGGCCAGCTTTTGATTTTAAAACATAGCAACATACACACACCCTCATTCCTCCCTCTCGGATGTTTGTGTTTGTTTCCTAACACCATCATCTGTATGTTGCTTTCATTGTATGAGTTTGTGTATGACATTGCATGTGCATTGCTTGGTGTGGGTTGATGTTTCTTTGGTTCCTGGGAGACACAAACTTAGGAACTTGAGCTCAAACTTTCTTTTCTAACCTCTCCTGCCACATTCAATTTGAGAGCTTTATGTTTCTTTGTTTGGAACATATTAAGCTTTTATTTTCTGAACTTTTTATTTTGTAATTTTCCAAGATTGAAAGTCATTTTCTTAGAGACGAGAACTGATCAAACAGAAACTTTCAAGTATTTTGTCCTTGAAAGTCCTTTGTATAAAATATGGAAGGCATATACTGAAATGCAAGATGTTTTTCTTTTGCAGGAGGGTGGGTGATTACTAGGAGATTAAACTATTCTGCTATGGATATTTCTGTAACCTCAAGGGTGTTCTGATAAGTAGTGTTAGCTATGTGATTTTAATGCATTCTAGAGCAATATTCTTATTCTTTTTGTCTCATTCTCACATTTATAGACATTATGGATGCCAGAAATATTCTGAAAATTTTGTAACCATGCCTTTAATCCAAGTACTTGGGAGGTAGAGGCAGGTGAATCTCTATGAGTTTGAGACCTGCCGGGTCTCTGGTCTACAGAGATAGTTCCAGGATGGCTAGAGCTACAGAATAGAGAGACCCTGTCTCAAAAAAACAAAAAACAAAAAACAAAAAAAGGAAAGGAAGGAAGGAAGGAAGAAAGAGAAATTTATAGATGTCAGAAACACTCTTAAAATTTTTCATATGCAGCTTTTAAAGAGATGAAAAACAAAAATGTAAAGTATGTGTTTTTTTTACTTCATTGTTTAAAACTCTTGACTTGAAAACATTTTGTATCTTATCAATTGAAGCTTTAGACATCTTTTATGTCATTTCCAGATGTTTTTAATTAAAAACCACAAGTATAATTTCCTGAGGTGATGAAGCTTAATACATTCTGTTTCATGTTGCATTGAGAGAGGTGAAATTATTGGAGTGGATTATTTTGATTTCTTTTCATTGCTTTCATTATCAGAAATAAGTTTATCTTAATATAGAGGACTATACCTCATAAACACGAATCTGGCGAGCACATGGGCACATGGTCTCTATTACAGTAATAGTTGAAGATTTACTGACATGCTTTTGAAGGCAGATTATATTTGAAATGGTGAGGGGGTAGGGAAAAAGCAGAATGGATTTTTGGTCATCATACATCAGAGGTATGTTTATGTATGCATTTCATTTATTTTCATATTTTAAGACTGATTCTTAATGTGAGCCTGGCCACTCAAAGGTATTGGTTTTTCTGTGGCCTGGACCTTGTTAGAGGAGTCAGTCCTGGGCTAGAGTGCTGGTGACTTTCCAAAGTGGAATTTGAGTGTGGACTTTGCTCTGGCTGTGTCCTGTGTCTGTTTATCTGAGGAGCTGACGGTTAAGCTTAGGCTTAATAATGCATTGATTCTCATGCCCTACCGAGTTAGTAAGATTTCAAGTGTGCTTGGACCTCATAATTATTATTTTGTGATACTTTACACTTTGCTTTAAAGTCCCAGTTGTGTCAAAGAGTGCGCATACTATCCCTAAAGAGTTGTAGCAATAACCATTTTGATTTTTAGTGCTTTAGCAATTTCGTATTACTTTTGACAAGTCTTAGTATTAGATCTGTACAGAGCTTCTTTTGATGTCAAGTGCCAGGTATCAGGAGGAAAGAATCTGTGTGTGTTCTAATGGCTAGCACATTCTGACTTGTGTGTAACTTAAATGGGCTGGCAGTGAGGAAAGTTCATTTGAATTATAAAATCTTTCCATTTTTCTTGACTAAAACTTTTAGCATTTTCAATTAAATTCTTTATTATGCTGAAATATCAAGTTCATCAGTGTTTTCCACTATTATTATAATAAAAAATAAGAATTATTCAAAATAGTTTATAGCTTTTGTTCTCCCATTTATCACTCTCATTGTTAGCCAGATTGTACTAAAATTTTCCAAATAACTGCACAGCAAAATTCAGGAAGAAAAAAGTTTGAACTTGAACAAGACTGACTTATAATTAATATCCTAAAGTTATTCTATGATTGGTTGGAATTCTCTTTCTAGGAAATGAGGAGCATCTCTGTTGAGTTTCAGCAGCCAAAACTTCTCATAATGACTGTGATCTCAGAGACATTAGCACAGACTCATTTTTCTTTCATGAATGAGCCATTTGAGGCACAGGGATGATCTGGGTAGGGTCATGTTGCTTGTGAGAATCCTTTAGGAGGAGCAATAGAGTTAAAAGCCTGCCCAGATTGTACACACCACCTGTCACACTCTGTTTTATTGGTGTGTCCCAAACCCTCCTAGAGAGGTAGTTTGCTATGCTGTCCCTCTGAAGCCGTTTCTGGGACTCCACACACCCCAGAACATAAGTTCTTTCTCTTTCTCCCTCGTCCCTGTTTCTCATTTAGTACTTATTCTCCTGCCATCTCTTTCATCTTGAGAGGGAGCACAGCTGGCTGTGCAGGTGAGTCCTTGTTCCTCCTCACAGCTATGCCTGGTTGGCAGTCAGGGTCACCTTTGCCCTCAATTTTGTTTTCTCTGTTTTTTGGATCATAGCTGTCCTTTATTTCCTTACTAGCATTCCACACTAATCCTATACAGTTGCTCCTGGACTTTCAGTATGGCCACATCCTACTAAACTCATTGTAAAAGCCTAAGAAATTACAATTTTTCTTTTGTATTCCAGAATATTGTAAATTGGAGATCATTTCTGTGATGTTCTCCTAGTTCCTAGGTTATTTAATGACACAATGTAAATAGGCTCAAAGAAGTCCAGGTTAGATATGCTAGAGTTTAATTCCATTTTGTATCTGTTGAATTCTTAGCACACTTGTCAAGTACTCTGTTAAGAATGTATATGCCCGGTATGGTGGTGTACACCTTTAATCCCAGCTCTCAGGAGGCAGAGGCAGGTGGATCTCTGTGAGTTTGGGACCAGCCTGGTCTACCAAGAGAGTTCTAGGAAAGGCAGGGGTGATACACAGAGAAGCCCTATCTCAAAACAGCAATAACAACAACAACAACAAAACCAAAAAAACCCAAACAAAAACAGAAGAATGTATATGTATTCTGTTAATACAGTATTTGTGTGAAAGACCCTAGGAAGTGCAGGCATTAGAATTCCCCTTTTCTGACTGAAGATGTTGAGGCCCAGCGCGATGGCCATTCCACAGTGAGAAAAGGAGCTTAGCAGTCAGCAGCCTGCCAGATGGGAAGCCTGTTAGTGTAGCAGCCGGAGAGTACACTTGGCTGTGCAGAGATGGCTTCACATGGCACCAACTTACTTCCTCGTCTTTGCTACATACCCTGTGTGGATTAGTGTGGTGCTCTGCTGCTATAATCACACCAGAACACGGGACAGTGGGACATGAGTTGGCCACACTCATGTTGACATATATCATTTAAAATTAGTGTGGTGGGGGGTGTTTCTGGTAGCAGAGAAAAACTAATATTTAAGGACATGAGCTACACAGACCGCCCCACCCCCCTCCTGAATCTTCGCATGGTCAAATTATCATTTGCAATATAGTGACATATTGGTTGGCAATATAGTGACTATAGTCACAGCATCTCCCTGTTTGAAACTGTGACCTATGTATGTTACTGCTGTTAATCAGTAGCAGGGTAGTTTAGCTTTCTGAGCTGGTTTTAAAGACCAGTAAAACAACAAAGAAGCTGTGACCACTCAGTGTTACATATCCAACTCTGAGCACTGTTCTAAGTCATCTTCAGTTCTCTTGATTGTCCTCGGTGTTTATTTGATCCCATGCACAGAACACCTTCCAGCATGTGGTGGACACTGCAGTGAGCCAAGCAGACGAGTCTCTACAGTGTGTGTTCTCGGAGAGGCAGCCAGGCAATTTCCAGTGGATAATGGAAGTACTGTGAGGATATTCAGTGCAGCAAGTGCTGTGAGGAGGCACAGCAGGGAGAGTTAGAGGAAGCTCTCTGGGTTACCCAGAAGGCTGTTCTGCGAGGGCCACTGATCTTAGAACCAAGATGGGGCAGAGTCAGAGTTAGGGTGTGCAGTGATCTAGGAAAAGAAAATAATAGGGGGAATTGTAAGCGTTTCGTCGGGATGGGTCAGGACAGGATGGAACAGGAGTGAGTGGGTCAGGTATTCTGGCACTCGGGAGTCACAGAATACCCAGTGTTACACAGCTCAGGTGAAAAGGTATCCTGGAGCTCGGGAGCCAAGGATACTGAGTGTTACACAGCTCAGGTAGAAAGGTATCCTGGAGCTCGGGAGCCAAAGACCACCACGGGTTGCAGTAAGCTTGGCAGCTTACAGCCTTGCCTCAGAGAAAGGCTTCTCCGGTGTGTCAGCTCCGCTCCGGCAGGACAGGGTCTTCCAGCTGGGGATGTTCGCCTAGTGTAGCAGTTTTGCTCCGCAGGAGGTTTCTCGGGCGAAGTTGCTACAGTTCAGCTCTGCTCCTGGAGAGCCAAGAGCGGAGAGCAGGGAGCCGGGCGGGAGCAGAGTGTAACAACTCCGCTCTGCCAAGGAAGGTTTCCCGGGCAAGTGTTACAGCGCTGCTCGCTCTGCTCTGCTCTGCCCAGGGTCGCCTCTGCTCGCTCTGCTCTGCTCTGCCCAGGGTCGCCTTTGCTCTGTCGCAGCCGCAAAAGAAGATCTTCACCCGAAGCTCATCCAAAGGTGTTTATTGGAAGACAGCTGGACCAGCCAAGCTGAACATACACAGGGTTTATATAGGGGTTCCTGGGGTTGGGGAAGTTTTTCCAGGGTAGGGATTGGTCCGATTTCAGTGCTGAGCTCAGATTGGCTAGAGCTCTGCTCCGGGATTGGTTACTTTTTTACACAGGA